TGGTGAGCTAAAGAAAGACACTTTGAAATCATGTGATTTGAGATACTTTGGTGAGAATCAAAACAGAAAATCTCTAATGATTTGTAAAATGATTAACAAGTCTCTTATATTTTATTTTTTAGAAATTCCTGTTCCAACTTTGAATCTAGTAACCAAATGGCCAGATGTGTTCCCCACTGAGAGTGTGAATATGAGCTGTGAGATGCAGACGGACAGCGCTGACTGGACATACGCGTTTTACAGAGATGGCACTAAGGTCCAGCATTATAATTCAGATAAGGGCAGAAATCTTTCCATCACCTCTGCTTCAACCTCAGACGGGGGAAGCTACAGCTGCTCAGGAAAACTGAAGAGCAGGGACGTCTACAGCACCAACAGTTCTCCACTAAAACTTCACGTCTATGGTGAGATTTGTTTTCTTCTTCTGCTTTTTGACACGGTTCTTCATTAAAACTTGTCTTTTTCAGTTTTGCTGTTTTATCTGTAATTTTAAAGTAAAGGTTTAAAATGTTGCGAATGTCAGGCTGTTTACTCTCCTGCTAACAGTCAGAGAATGACGGTGATAACTCATTTACAAATGTGCAATGTATGTTTATATAAACTCTTCTTCAGAATATTTATTTGTAGTCTAGCAGGTTTGTTTCTGCTTTCATTTATAAAAACTGTTCTGAAGTTTCTCTCACAGTGTGGTGAGTGTTAGAAATTTACGCAACATCACAAACGCTTTTGTGTATTTTTACAAGGGAATTTTTTCAAGTTCAGGTATAAAACATATTAAATATTATATTAAAATACAAGAGTATTTGTTTGAGGCACGTCACAATGTCCACATTAAATACTGCATAATTTTTGATTGTGATGTTCATATCCCCTCAGCTGAGAAACCCACTCTCACACTGACACGAGATCCAGACTACAATGTGATGTTTGCTGGAGAAGCGGTCACCTTCAGCTGTGCCATCAGTGTCCAGTCTGAATGGACGTACCTGTGGTACAAAGATGGCAGTAAGGTT